AATGAGAAGAGCTGAATTGATAGCTTTACTAGATAATAATCAACATAATGATGATGATGATAATGATGATGTTGAGAATAAACAACAAGAATTAATATTTGTACCAACATCCGCCGGCGTTGGTAAATATCTAAGAGGTTGGAAGATGGATATTAATTCCAACATGGATGTTAACAATATTAAGCCCATCATATCGATTAAAATTAATGAGGAATTAGATGATTTACATAGTATAAAATACCAGCTGACGATTAAAATGTTATTGAGTAAAAGTAACACAGACGATAGCACCGAATATACCGAACCATATTTCCGAAGCAATCAAGAAGTTGTAACCGAATCCGATACTATAAACGCATCATTAGATACATCAATTCAGAGGATACAGGAAACTTTAGAACGCTGGACTAATAGAGGTTCGGGTTGGGGTGTGGATAAAATCGGTAGTTTATATTTAGATATAGCAAATTATATGCCCTTCAAAGGTGGATCTTATATAGATTTACCCCTGTATTATAAGAAGAAAAAAGACATAATTAACGTAAAAAATAAATCCGATGACTGTTTAAGAATGATGATAAGATCTGCATTGTTCCCCGTAGACAAGCATCCGGATAGACCTTCTAGCTATCCCCAAAACGATGGACTCAACTTCGATGGTATAGACGAACCTACACCAATATCACAAATTGATAAGGTGGAAAAGCAAAATAATTTAGCTATAAATGTTTTCGGACATTCTAAAGGAATTGTCGTACACAGGATAAGCTCCGCTCCGGAACATATTCCCAGAATCAATTCATTTCTGATCGAAAAAGATGGTAAATATCATTATACGGGGATAAAGAGTTTAAACAGGCTATTATACGATCAAACAAAACATGCTAGAAAGAAATATTTCTGTGAAAGATGCCTGCATGGGTACAGCAGACAAGATCTATTAGAAGCTCATAAAGAAGACTGTAGAGGCAGACCGCTATCAGGATCGATATGCCTAAAGAGGGGAAAAATATATTAAAATTTGAACATTATTGTAATCAAACGCCAGTACCGTACGTAATTTACGCCGACTTCGAAGCGCTTATCAAACCCATAGAAAATACCAACCATAATAATCAAGATAATAGTTTTACGTACCAAACTCAAGAACATATTCCTTGTGGGTTTGGATATATAGTTGTAAGGTATGATAGGAAAACAAACCCGCCTGTGATTTACAGAGGTCCCAATGCAGCGGGAAAGTTCCTAGAATATCTACAAAATGAAGAGAGAATAATCAGGGAAAATTTATCGTGTAAGAAACCCATGCGTATGACGAGGGAAGATTGGAGGGCCCATAAGAAGTCAACGAGTTGTCACGTTTGTAATAAACCCCTGGATGGGGATTCCGTAAGAGATCATTGTCACGTCACGGGTAATTATCGGGGAGCCGCTCATGACGAGTGTAACTTGAAACTAAAAATGAACTCTCAAACAATACCCATCCCCGTTGTGTTTCATAACCTTAGGGGATACGATTCACATCTCATTATGCAAGCTATCTCAAAGACCGACGGCGTTTAACGTGCATTCCTAACAATATGGAAAAATACATATCGTTCTCGTTGACTAAACCTATACATTATAGGGACAAGGATGGGAAATCTAGAATAAAGCAAAGTAATGGGCTTAGATTCATAGACTCCGTACAGTTTCTGTTATCTTCCCTGGACAATTTAGCCAATGCGAACAATCCCAATGACTTTGCGATAACAAATAAATATACTGATAAGATTACTCGTCATTTGTTGCTGAGAAAAGGTGTATATCCTTACGAATATATGGATGATTGGTCTAGATTCGAAGAAACTGAATTACCACCCCTCGAATCATTCTATAGTAACTTAACAGAATCTAGAATAACAGATGCCGATTATGGTACTATTCCAGTCCCGGACTATCGTGGGATGCATTGTTGAAGAAGACCGGCGTAGAACTTAAACTACTCACAGATTACGATATGCACTTATTTATTGAGAAAGGATTAAGAGGTGGTATATCGATGGCAGCTAAAAGGTATTCTAAGGCTAATAATAAATTAGTGGAAGGATACGATCCGAGTAAACCCGACACGCATATATTATATCTCGACGCTAACAATTTGTACGGATGGGCTATGAGTCAACCTTTACCCACGGGTGGTTTTGAATGGGTCAATGTGAATGATATCCATAATAATGATGCGAATAAAGGGTACATACTAGAAGTTGACTTGGAATATCCAAATTCCTTACATAAAGACCATAACAGTTATCCGCTAGCTCCCGAAAGATTAATGGTTAATAAAGACTGGATGTCGGAATATCAACACTCCTTGATGGGTAATAGTAGGTTAGCTAACGTAGAAAAACTCGTACCAAATTTGATGGATAAGACAAAATATATAGTTCACTACAGAAATCTCCAGTTGTATCTATCGTTAGGTATGAAACTTAAGAAAATACACAGAGTTCTAAAGTTTGATCAAAGCCCTTGGATGGAGCCCTATATAAGGTTGAACACAGATTTAAGAAAGATAGCTACTAGCGATTTCGAAAAGAATCTGTATAAGCTCATGAATAACTCAGTATTTGGTAAAACTATGGAGAATCTAAGGAAGTGTGTTGATGTTAAATTAGTCAGATCTAATGAGGAAGAAAGACTCAGGAAACTTATAGCCAGTCCGGCTTTTAACAGAAGCAAGATATTCGATAACGACTTAGCTGCGTTACATATGCAGAAGAGTAATATAAAATTCAACAGACCGGTGTACGTCGGTATGAGTATTCTCGACTTGTCAAAACACTTAATGTATGACTTTTATTACAACGAACTTAAGAAGCAATACGGCGATAGATGCGAAGTGTTATATACCGACACAGATTCTTTGTTGATGGAAATACAAACCGAGGATGTGTATAAAGATATGGCAGGAGAAAAAAAAATGTACAACACGAGCGATTATCCAAAAGATAATCCACTGCACAGCGTAGTAAATAAAAAGGTGTTAGGTAAGATGAAGGATGAATGTGCTGGGACCCCTATAGCGGAGTATGTAGGATTAAGACCTAAGATGTATTATATAAAGAAGTCCGATAATGGAGAGATAAGAAAAGCTAAGGGTGTTAAGAAGTATGTGGTAAAAAAGCATATCAAACACGAACAGTATAAAGAATCATTATTCAACCGTATAACGTTCAAACACGAGATGAACTCTTTAAGAAGTTACAATCACAGGATATATGGATTAGGAATGAACAAGACATCATTATCCCCCTTAGATACAAAGAGATGGATTGATAATGATGGTGTAACTACCTATGCTTATGGTTATGGTGGTAATACCGTACCGTCGGGAACTATGAACAACTCTTCTCGTACAAATGCCCTACCCGGTCCATCTTGAAGATAATAAAGAATAGGCTCTCCTTCTTTCGTAACCAATCGACTAATGTTATACGTCTTAAGGGACCATGTGGGATTGGTTGCGCGACGTAGGCCTCCTTCGAGTTCACTGGCCTGGTATAAATATCTTACCCTTACTCTATCCGGAAGTTTTTGTTCTTTGCCTCTCCTCGTTGCTGAAGATTCGGAAGTCACGGATTTCATTTTAATAGCATCGGATGGTTTCTTCCCTATTAATCTCGTCACTTCATTATTCAACGCTGATACAACGGCTGGTAATCGTGTCACCCATTCGGTTGATCTCAATCGTTCCGATTTCATTTCAATCCCATACTGATAGCCAAACAAACGTTCCGCTAATGTCCGGTTAAATCTTTCAACGATAGCTTGACTGCGGTGGGCCTCTCTTTCACCACGGACGATTTCGACATCGTGCTTTGTTAACAGTTTAGTTACCGATCCCATAAACTCGCGACTGGGATCTACTTGAAATAGCTTAGGCCATTTTAGCGGTCCGCGTTTATATATGCGGCTCAGTGCATTAGCTACTTCTGTTGAATCTTTTGAGGTTAATGGCTCAGCCTCTTTGTATCGACTAGCCACATCCACTACTGTTAAAGCGTATTTATACGTTTTGCGTTTTACCTTATCATGGGGAAGAAACAAGAGGTCAGCCTGATGAACTTCATTCGTTGTAAAAATATCAAACTTCTTCCTCGGTATATAACGCGGTGCCGGTAAATATATCTGCCACATCGCTTGTTTCTTTAACCAATCCTTGGCCACATCTTTAGATACCTTAGCCGCGGTGGCTAATTTTTTTATTGCTCCTATACCTTTCCAATATCCTCGTGGGCTATAGTAAATTTTATCCATTATTAATTAATATTGATGTTTCATTTAATACAACTCATGACTATCATTGAATCGCATCATCATTTACACAGAAAAATGCCCCCTGTAGTAGCAGTATAGGTATATGAATCTGGCTCCAGTGGAAGTGGTCCAGAACCATCATTACCTATAAAAATTTATACCATTGGCTCCAGGTGGTGGTGAGCTGGAGTCAATTTAACTTAATCTCATGACTATCGTTGAATCGCATAATCATTTTGGCATAAAAAATGCCACCTGTAGTAGCAGTATAGGTACATGAATTTTGCTCCAGTGGAAGTGGTCCAGAACCATCATCACCTATACTACTCTATTTCTGTTTTAGTCCAGTAGTATTCCCCTATTGCTGTTTTAAAAACAAATTAAACTGAATTAAGTTGGAAAGCCAAACAGATCGTCACACATAAAACTCAATGGAAAAGCAACTTGCTGTCAATTGAGCCGTAAACTGAATGCAAGCAAGCGCACGTGAGTGGATTTCATTCTCTCGCCCTGCATGGCCTTGTAACTGTCGAAATGATGCCATACATTTTTACGGATTTTTTTCATTTTTATCAAAGTACCCTTTCCCTTACATGCATTTACATGGTACAAGTCTTTCTGTAACATCTTGGTACAAGTGTATCAAAGTTGAATCACTGATTGGACGAAAAGTGACCTGTTCTCGTTGTCCCATCGCACAGATGCACGCAAGATACTGGCCGAGCACCTGATGTCAGAGTGTAGGTATGAGGGAGGCGTGTCGACAATATCGGCGGTGAGGTGTCCCGACGAGCTCATACCCGAACCTTGGCTGGAAGATCCTCCACGTTACAGCACGGTAATGATAACTCTTATATTTGAAAAAATAGAACTGTCATTTTTTCATGAAAAATACTTTGAGATCAGTGATTAAATGTGTAGCAATTTCAGTCGTAACGTTTGTACGTATGACAACAATATCCCTGATATTTTCAGGACAAAACAATATTTCATTGGGACAAAAAGTCAACATTTAGGAACATTGTTTGAAAAATATATGTGTTTAATTAACCATTATGTGTAGTGAAAAAGTTGATATCTTAATGAAGCTTTTATGTTATACTGGACCAGACACCTAATATCACGGAAGAAGGTCCACCATGTAACTCAAACAGCCCCCAACCCCTAGCAAAACACGATCCTGTGCCAAGCTCAGTTTCCGATTTTCTAATACCATCACATGCTCAAACAGCCCCAACATCCCAAAAACAAATTACGAAATCGCAACAATCCGAAGGGGACAGCCAATTATCAAACAATCAAGACCAATCTCCCTCTTCCCAGGTATCTCCAGGCCATGGATCAAATTCCCCATATCAGACACCTGGTATTGGGTATCTGGCGCATCTGCCAATTAGAGATCATCCGACTGCTGCCCAATCCTCACAGTTATCTCCAGAGACACCTAGAATTCCCCAAGGCCCACAACAGAATGACCAGGGACCCAGAAATCAAGGGCCACAGGACGCTCTTCAGAACATGATCCCAACCAGAGAACCTGGTGGATCACCAAGACTGCAACATATCGAATTCACACAGAACATCCAACAAGGACCTGCTCGACAGATGCACCTAGTAGGTCCTCCGCAGAACATCCAGACAGTCTTTCCTGAGACATATCCACATCCTGACACTGTACAGCCATGCAATTATGACCATTGGAATCTCCCGCAAAACCCGCAACACCCACAACACCCACAACACCCGCAACACCCACAACACCCACAACACCCGCAATACCCGCAACACCCACAACACCCGCAACACCCGCAACACCCACAACACCCGCAACACCCGCAACACCTACAACACCCACAACACCCACAACACCCGCAACACCCGCAACACCCACAACACCCGCAATACCCGCAACACCCGCAACACCCGCAACACCTACAACACCCGCAACACCCGCAATATCCTCAAGCAACTGGACACCCTCAATATGGCAATCCTGGGAGAATTCCACAACCAGATCCAAATAACTATTTCCCATTCCCACGTGGGACCTATCTACCACACCAACCACATCCAACACAGGGTCAGCACTACAAATTTCCAATACAAGGTGAACCATACCAAAATCCAACACCAGGTCAACCACACCAACATCCAAATAAACCCCAGGCATACCATCATCCACCACTCCAACCATACTATCAAGAACCCTATCCACCAGCTGAACAATATCCACCAGGAAGCTACCCAGGAGCTCAAAACTACCAACAAGGACGCCAAATGCCTTCTCCCCACCAATTGTTTGGGGCACATCTCCAAGAGCAGACATATCCTTCAACAATACCCAATCAACAACGATCTGCCTCTGAACACCCAGGTCCCCAACCTATCCAGGACTCACACAAACAGGATGAACTGAAGCGTAGAGGTATGGTATATCTGGCTCAATTATTTCGAGAGTTCCACTGGATATGTCTATGTTATACCAGATACAAAAGTTAAAAGATATTGATGTCACAGAATGAAATGAACACCATCTTCCACAATTTAGATATCTCGATCAAGGAACGCACAATACACATAAGAATCGAATGTAATATCTTTCCGATATATGCGCATATGTATTTTGGCAAGTCTCAATCAAGGTCAATTTAAGTCATATGTCGTCACAGTGCTAGACTGTGGAAAAATATACACGACGTCATCCATTGTTCATGACGTCACAAATCGATTACATTACGTAAGGCTGCCTTCATTTTTCTTCATTTTCTCTCATAAAATGTCAATGAATAATACACAGGAATCTACCTACCCTTAACTCAGAAGTACTGATGATCTGTCCCTCGTGAATGGATGGTGCAGGTCCTTCACGAAAGGCTCGGGATAAACATCATTCATTTACTCGAGACAGAGCATCAGTAATTCGTCGTAGCTTGTTGTCTAAAGAGTTCTGAGTTGTATACTGACATTGAAGTCCTTCCTTGGTTTAACGGGTATATGATTTGAGGCCTTCATAGCAATATAACTAAGTATTGTAAACCCCTGAAAAAAATTAATTGGCCACATGCTTACATGGTATTTTCCAGCTATTGTGACCCATCTGAAATTTTGGTTTTCGAAATATTTATAAATAAATTATTCATGCATATGTTAATCGTTTCATTAATAGCCACACCAGAGGACTGTCCCACTATCCTGGAAGTGAAAGGTATACTGCCCTCAATGACTGAGGATAGTGTGAAGCTGTATTTTGAAAACAGGCGGAGAAGTGGTGGAGGAGAGGGAGAGGTGGTTAAGGTGGATATGAAGAAGGGGAAGAACAAGGCTCTGGTCTTCTTCAAAGATCCTGAAAGTAGGTGTACACTTTTAAAAGTTCGTATTAACACTTGGTAGTAATAACACTCGGAACCCCATCTACATAAAACAATACTACAGTGACAGGCAAATTAGTCCCTTGGATTTTTATCGGTGTAATATGGAAATAAAGGAGGCCATCGTTTTTTTAGCTGCAGAACGTATCCTCAAAATGAAGTCCCATCTGATTAACAAACAACGTGTGGAGGTGTTGGCTTACACGGAACCCCCCTGCCATACGTCCGCTGCTGCTGCTGATGATGATGATGATGACGATGATGAAGACGAAGAAGATGATGACAAACAAGAAGAGAGCACTATTGAAGTCCGGGGATTTAAACCTAATACAAACCCTGAAACTCTGGAACTTTACTTTGAAAACACTAATAGAAGTGGAGGCGGAACGGTGACAGGAAGTGAAAGGAAGGATGATGTCATCTTCATTACGTTTGAGTCTCCAGAAGGTAATCTTGACTCCTATGTTTTTGTAATACATAATTGACGATGTTAAATGATTTTCGATGTTTGTTTACAGAGAATGAACTGAAGGTGAGGTGAAATGTGGTTTAATAGTACGCGCGTGCGTGCGTGCGTGCGTGCGTGCGCGTGTGTGTGTGTGTGTGTGTGTGTGTGTGAGTGAGTGTATTTGAGTGTATGTGTATACATTGTGTGTTTTGTGAATGTGAACGTCAGTCCATGTATGTTTTGTCATATGTGTTGCGTGTGCCTTGGCCTTAACGCAATGTCGACGTGTGTATGTCTGTGCGTGCGTGTGTGCGTGCCTGCTTGTACAAGCCCGGTTTAATAGTACGAGCCAGATGAGATACCATGGCTCAGAATAACATGGATACCCTAGTCACTCATAATATGCTGACTCCAGCCTTGTCCCAGTCCTTGTTTTATCCCCGTAATGCCCCGTCAGGCAGGGTAACAAAAAGTACCATCTTTCGTTGTAATGCGTCGGGGAAACGAACCACACACCTCTGAGGACAGACCAGAGATTCAATTGAAGTCATTCCCAGACACATGCATATTATCCAAGCAGAGTCTGTTATGGGTCTGTAATGTAAAGCATGAGCTTTAATAAAGTGTTCAATGCAATTATTACACTATTTTCAATTATTATAACATGATTAATTAGAGGTCACATACTAATGGTCTTATCTAATACAACAATTATATCATCTTGTTTTACAAATTCATTATTTCTGTGTTCAGTGGTCCAAAATGTACTGAAAAGGAAACACCAGGTCGATGGAGCAAATCTGACACTGAAGTTACATCGCCCAATACCTTGCTACAAGAACAGGTTTCTTGTGACTGGCGTGAGCAGCACAACTAACAAGGAGAAATTAATGCTCCTTATGGAAGAACGGGCACGTGGAAGCATCGTTACTGATGTCCTGTATGGGGAAGAGCCCGGGAAAGCATTGGTAACTTTTGAGGATCACAATTTCCCAGGTAAGAGATAACATTATACATATTGTAGCGCAGCTACGTATAATCTACAAGAACTACAGTACATGTAGTTAGTCATGTGGTGTGTCTGCTTGGATTGGCAAAGAAATGGAATTTGGGCAAGAAGTTTATCTTAAGCTTCAAATAGCCTCTTCTCTTCCAATGATTTACCCACCTGAATCAGAAATATAAAGAGTCCAGTGAAACCTTCTCATCTGTTTCATATCAAGATCTATGCTTAAAGATTCGGAGTAACAATATCTATCCAAGACTGTATGACAAGTAGGATGACTTCCACTTTCCAAAAGTCAAATAGCAGTTCCATCCCTTGAGGTCTACATTTCAGAAACTTTGAGGTACAATCAAGCAGGCTCTTCCTATGAAGATTTCAAAGAGCGTCATACAACGCTTGCTTAAAAGTCCTTTGATCTGGCTTACATTTCAATATTCACGGCTTGAGTAAAGCTTTCCAAACGTTTTAAAGTAAACACATGGAGGACAAGTATAATGTTCGATACCGTTTGCAAGGTTACTTTACCGTATGTTCCCGTGGTTATTTTTTAGATGAACAATCTATGAATGAATATTGCCTTTGCAATTTTTGTTCCACCGGTGCCACCTGTAGGGAATTATACGCTCACCTTTTCGCGAACAGGGGGCACGTGTGGCCCTGTCGTCTAAGGCGCCGAGATTCGCTGTGCAGAATTGCGTCCCTTGGGCACGCCAGAAACCTGTGATTGTGGGTTCGAATCCCGGTTCACCCCGATTATGTTTCTAGGTTTGTCAGCACCATACCCATGCTCGTGGGTTTCACCGAAGTGGTAAACGTCCGAGACCTGCATCACTTCGGGCTTTCCTCCCACATTAAGCTGACACGCCGCGATATAACTAATACTGCTGCGTTAAACCCAACTCACTCACTCAATATTCGCGAACGCCTTGTATCATCACTATTTGGTAGTGATTCATAAGCACATGCTTATAAGATAGTCGAAATCGTACAATCGACTCGAGATTTATTATGAATAAGGAAATGGTTTAATTTAGTTTATCCATGTCATTGTAACATTGAAGTGATTCATACAACAGATGCCCACCTAGTTGTGTTCAAATTAAGACGAAAGCTCATGTTTTCCCTTTTTCGTTATTACAACACTATTCTAACATCGTTACAAGTGTAACGGGTAACACTAATATCTGTACCTGAGGAGAAAATCTGTGAGGGGGTTTAACGTCGCGTTCACGATTATTACATCTTTATAACAACGTGTATGCACGTGTGTGTGCATTTGCGCGTGCGTGCGTGTGTGTGTTTGTACGAGTTCAGACTGATGTCAGTTGTATAGTGCTAGCCAACTGATATATCATGCCGCAGTTTAACATGGATACCCTACTCAGAAACAAGATACTTACTTCGAGCCGACCAGTTCTTGATTTAACTAGGCAGGGTAACAACAAACACCATATTGTGGTATGATGTGCCTTGCTGGTAGACACTGTCCACGAGACCAAGAGACATATTAAAGATGAAAATAGATAGATTATGAAACATTTAAATGAACTCAACGTCAAGCTATCTACGACCGCCTCCATGGTCTAGTGGTAGAGCGTCCACCCGGAGAGCGGAAGGTCCGGGGTTGAATCCCCGGCCGCGTCATACCAAAAGACGTTAAAAGATGGTACTTGTTGTTTCCATGCCTGGCGCTCGGCATTTAGGGGCTAAAACAAGGACTGGTCGGCTCGGAGTCAGTATACTGTGTCTGAGAGGGGTATTCATGTTAAACATGGTATCTCAGTCTGCTAGCACTATAAATCGGCACGGTATCTCAGTGTGCTAGCACTATAAATCGGCATCAGTCCGGACTAGTACAAGCAGCCACACACACACACGTGCATGCACGTCGCTATATAAGTGCAATAATCTTTGACGCGACGTTAAACCCAATTTCACCTCACCTCAATCTATGTACAAGTGTAAACAACATTCTATCGGTATCGTTTGATAGTAATTAACAATTATAGCTTCCTTATCATCTCACCTTTCAGACTTCGAAAGATTGCAAGAAGAGTGCAGGAGAAGGAAGTCTGGCGGACAACACATCATGGTTCATAAAGTACCTGTATGTGACAGTGTGGTTGTAAGGGGACTGAAGGCAGAGTCGACTGAAGACACTGTGCAATTATACTTTGAAAATATAAGATCTGGCAACACTGATGGAATCCCAGCTACAGCCTCCTTGCACAATGGTGATGGGTATTGCATTGTCAAGTTTGAGGATTATAGAGGTAATTTAAATTTCATCTGTTCGATGTAGTGAGTGAATTCGTATGGTTTAACGTAACTTTGGGAAGCATTTTAGTTATGTGTCTGCGTGTCAGCTTTATGTGGAGGAAGCCCGAAGTGATGCATGTCTTAGATATTTACCACTGGTGAAACCCTCAAAGGAATATAGAAATATAATCAAGCTGTCGGCTGGGCCACCCATGCCCAAAAAAATAGAAAACACATCGAGACATCACTACCAATATATCAGTACAGCCATACCGTGAGTGAGTGAGTGGGTGAGTGAGTATGGGTTTACGCCGTTTTTAGCAATATTCCTGCAGTATCACGGCCGGGGACATCAGAAATGGGCTTCACACGTGGTACCCATGTCGGGAATCGAACCTGGGTATTCGGCGTGCCATACCGCCTGGCATGGGTACAATGTAGCACGTGATGATGACTAGCTTAATTGAGAACTTCTCAACTTAATTATTGCCCTCAGCTGACTGTGCCAACCAGGGCCCCTTGCCTGGTGTGATATGATTGGCTTATTTTATATGAATTATGCATTTATGTGTTATGACTTTCAAACATCTCGTACATGTATTATATGAAATGTTGATAGTGAAGCGAATGCTTGGAGTCCTCTGAGTGTTTAAAGGATTGCAGTCCTATCCATATTTTGACTGTTTACAAAGCGTGAAGATCCGGGTAAGAATAGGTCTTCAGCAATCCATGCTTGCCGTAAAAGGCGACTATGCTTGTCGTAAAAGACGATTAACGGGATCGGGTGGTTAGGCTCGCTGACTTGGTTGATGCATGTCATAGTATCCCAATTTCGTCAATCACTGGATTGTCTGGTCCAGATTCGTTTATTTACAGACCGCCGTCATGTAGTTGGAATATTGCTGAGTGCAACTGTTTACTTTCTTGTATTCTCTGAGCAATAATGCCAACTTTGGCGTGAGACTCGATTTCTGATATACTGTGGAGTAAAACACTATTTATAATCTCTCTATGATTACGGCGTGTCAGCTCAAAGCCGGACGTGGTGTAGGTCGGGTGCACCTGGATTCGAACCCATAATCATGTTTCTGAGGTGCCAAAGGGACGCAAAACTGCGCAGCGAGTTGCGGAGCCTGAAACGATTGCGACACCCGTGCTCCCATATGGTATAGGTAGAATTGGTAGGGGTAATAAAATATGCATGTTCTGACACCTTTCCAACAACATGGGCCATGGCGGGATTATATCAGCAACAACCCCATACCCGATACCCTGCTGTGTCATCAAAGTTCGATGCAACAGAACTTTTGCTGCATCATCAATAAAATCATATATATTTCATTTATTGATCTAACTTCAGTCTGAAATCAGATGAATATGTGTTTTCTGGTTTCAGCCATAGATAAAATCCTTCCAAAGCAACACACGATTGGTGGTGCAAAACTGACTGTGACGCTTTACATGGAATGTCTTGGACTAGGCAGTGAGGATACGGATGGATCTTGGTACACACAACCAAAAACATTTACTGTTCAAGACCTTGACGAAACCAAATGTAGGTTTCTGCAAAACTCAAAGACCGATGAGGAGGAGCTGAAACGGGGACTGAAAGAGCGACATGCCGAAATCATATGGCTCTCTGTCTTTTCTGCAACGATGACATGCACGCTCAACAAGGATGCCCCAAATGCTGTCAAGTTAGCAAAATCTTGGAAAAAAGACACAGAGGACTATCTGAAAGGTTTTATTGATCAATTTAAAACTGAAGAATTTACAACCCTTGAACAGATGTGGGGGGATGTGAAGAAGAATTTGACCGATATCCCCAAGTCAAAGTCTGTTCTCGTTGATATGTCTGATGCAGAACATAAGGTGATAGTAGTCGGTCATGCCAGAGAAGTACAGCAAGTCGGTACCAAAGTGAAGGAAACTGTAGAAGGCGTAGAGAACGAATTCAAAAGAAAACAGAAGGAGATTACTGAGCCCATCAAATATTTGAAGCCACTTCAGCTCCAGCTCCTTGTGATGGATGGCTATGTAGCAGATATTGGGAAGCGGTATCCTGCAGATTTGAAAGTGACCGTCAATGTCGAACAAAACGAGATGATTTTCAAAGGTCAAGTGAACGAAATCAACGAGTGTAAAGTTTTAATGTATGAGAGATGTACGAGTTACAGTTCACACAGACTTACACTTTCCCAGGGACTGGTTTCCTTTCTAGATCAAAAGGACGTGAAGGCTATGGTCATGAACAAACTGAAGGATAAGAAGATCACTGGAGTATGGGATATTGAGAGCAAAAATGAAACTGTAATTGTCATGGCAACGACGGAAGAAAATGGTGCTTCTCTAGGGCGAACGCTCAAAGAGATGATCGTAGAGCATCATGAGCCAATTGATGAAGAAAATACCTCCCTTTTGTCTACTGACAAGTGGACAGCCTTTCAAAAAGCAACAGTGGACAGATATGGCAGTTTTGTGAGTCTAAACATTGACCGGAACGCCTCCCATGTTGTAATTGTTACCTTTGACAACACAATTAATGAAATCAAAGAGGAGGTTCGCAACTTTATCCTACAGAACTCGGTGTATAGGAAGATTGTGAAAATGCCCAGCCCAGTCTACAGATTCCTACGTGTGTATAGAGAAAGCGAGCTCGATGATATTAGCCATGCCATGGTGAAACTGGACTACAAATCGACACCACAACAGATAACAGTTAGTGGCTGCCAGGAGGCCCTTACCAAAGGTGTGCAGGATTTGACAAGTCTTGCAAAGAAGGTAATTTATAAGAAACACACCCTCAGGAAGTCTGGGATCGGAAGGTTCATCAATTCTGAGATTGGGAAAAGATACATTGGCTCAACAGAGAAAGAGAGTCAATGTATCATAGAAACGTCATTTGATGAATCAGTCAAAGTAAGAGTCGAAACGATTGGCGTAATACCTGCCTCAGTCTCTTCTTCACCACGGGGTAGAAACCCAACTGGGACCAGAGTTATCGCTAGCTGTGACATAGACTCGAAAAGAAGGCTTGATGTTGTCATAGGTGACATCACAGCTATGGAGGTTGACGTCATCGTCAATGCAGCTAACAACAGGTTAGATCACATTGGAGGATTGGCAAAAGACATAGCAAATAAGGGTATGTATATTGTTTTTATTTGATGCTTTTATAATGTATATTTGCTGTGATAGGACATGATTAATTCAACCATACAAACAACTTGTTGTGATTCTGTCAATATACACAACCTCATAACAATACCAGGCAATTTCAAGGATTCCTACATCTTCACATCGAGTTTACAATTAACATAATGTTATCAGGTGGACCTACAATTCAACGGGAGAGTGATGAATACACTAAGAACAAGGCTTTGAGAGCGGGGGATGTTGTAACTACTGGTGCAGGACGTCTCCCCTGTAAAATGGTTGCCCATGCCGTCGGTCCGTGTTGGTCTGGTGGTCATGCTGGGGAGGAAGGAGACCTGAAAGATGCCATCATGTTAAGCATGGAGAAGACAGACAGACATGGATACAAGTCTATTGCGTTACCTGCTCTTAGTGCTGGAATATTTGGGTACCCAGGAAATCTTGCTACAAGGTTAGATCAAGACTGAATGGTGTCGTCTAGATTTGTGTCTTTACAAAGTATACCTCACAAATGCATTATGTCTAAAAGAACGTCACGAATTGCCTTTTAGTTTGTTCAATTAACTAAAATAGAGAATATTTCAAAACGTTTGACATGTATGTTGTTGGAGTGAGTGAGTGAGTCAGTGAGTGATGTGGGTTTACGCCACTTTGGTATTCCAGTTATATCATTTATGTGCTTGGGAACGTTCAGGTGAATGAGATATGCATTCATGTCAATGAAGTTGTGTATGTCATTCGTACATGACACTTACGTTCATCAAGTCAAATCAACCTTGCCATCAACTGGAAACGCTGAACCCATTGAAATCCTCAAGTGTATGTTAGTCTCGTAAATGAGAAACCACATTTTAACTCATATGCACATACTATTCTAATGCTATTTTTATAACAAATAATAAGAAAATATGCACACGAATGGTGTGTTTTCGGGACGCTATTGCAGGAACATCTAACTACATTCAATATCTGATGTATCAATATCTTTATTACTAGATGATTAGTTCCATGTCTCTTTTCAGGCACATTGTTGAGGCCATTAAGAAATTCTTCACTCTGGAGAGTCCAAACAGCGGCGTGACGAATGTGTTCCTGATTGACATGAGCGGGAAAACCACCCAGCTGTTTGCCGAGGCTCTACAGTTCGTGTTCTGTGATCGAAGAGTGGCGCTGACACAGAGCAACAATACAACTGATTCACGCCCTCCAATAGCTACAAAACCCAAACCAGTCACTGGTGGTGTCCGTAAATATTTTTTGGAGTTGTTCGAAGCTTAAGATATGTAATATAACATGAGAGCTCTTTTTCTAGTGGTCTAGTTGATACAGCGTCTTTCCAGAGTGCGTATGGTCGGTGGTTCAATCCCCTGGTGTTTCATACCTAAAGACGTTAAAAGATGGTACTTGTTGTTACCCTGCATGGTGCTCAGCATTAATGGAATATAACAAGTACTGCTCAGCCTGGAGTCAGTATACTGTGTCTGAGTGGGGTCTTCATGATATACGCCAGCATGTTATCTTAGTTGCCTGGCACTATAAAATGGGCATTAGTCCAGACTAGTACCAGCAGCTACGAACAGATGCATGCCCATAGCTGTATAAGCGCAATAATCTAGAAGGCTAAACCTCATTCCACCACACACCCTCTTTCTCTCTCAACTATGAGTTATTTAACTATTGAGTTACTTGGGCTTTTTAAAGCTGTTTTTGACGGTATTCAGTGTTTAATAATTACACCTACGAGCATAGTCACGGTTCTGGCAACCCAAGGTTGTCTTTATGAGTTACCTTCACTTAGAATGTGCACACAAGTCAGTGTTTGTGGCACTCAGGGTGCTTACAGACAATTCCCTGTCTGACATCATGTTACTTGAATATTGATTTGATTAGTACATGGCTGTGTTTCTTTCTCTCACAAGGTGTCCTTCCAACTCAAGGACAGAAAGCATCTTCACACAGCAAAGTGACAATTGTCAAAGGCGAAATTGCGAAACAAAAAGTAAGTATGGTATATTAAGTGCTAAGCTGTGTAATATGATGATCGCTCTGTCTTGTGTAGTGCGTGTCTTTCAATTGCAATGCTTTGCGTGATGTATTAGAGTCTTAAATGGATGATGAAGTGAAGGAACAGTAATAAGGGTACTCATGTTGGCATCTACATTAAGCTTTCCTAATCAATATAAACGGTCTTGCTATTGTGTTGCTACAGTAAGTCAACCAAGATGTTATCTGATCATTGAAATTGTAGATATACACAGAAACACGCCCTAGCACCTTCTTTTTTATTTCATATTATAGCAGTCTTAAAGTGTTTGTAATCAGCAAGCATTTTCAATAGGCTGATGCTATCATAAACTCAACGTCCAACAACCTTGATCTTAACAACGGAGCTGTGTCCAAGTCGATCCTGAAAGCTGCAGGGAACACAATACAGGATGAGCTGTCAGTGAAGTATCCCCAAGGAATAAAGCCGGGAGATGTTGCTGTCAGTTCTGGAGGAGACTTGGGATGCCGTGTGTATCATGCCTGTCTGTCCACTGCAAGTGCCTCTAGTTCTGATGTAAGTTAACCCAGTTATTTTTGTATCTCTGAATCTGAAGCGTCTTTTGTAACCAACAATTCAGCCGTTTTGGTTTATTAGCCTGATAAAGTTAAGTGAGCTTATGTCGTGTCCTGTTTTGACCAGTGGCTATCATTCGTCGTCCGTCGTAAACATCTTCTCCTTGGAAACCATTCCAGTGAAACTGAACTTTTTATATGCTTCTTCCCACCAATGACAGCCCAATTTGTTCAAGAGCTAATCTGATTTTCACTTTGGCCGTCTCGTTAGCCATATTGGCAAAGCTATTTATTGTCATTATTCAAACATGTTCTTTCATAATAAAATAAAATTTGGTATACGTTTAGTTAGCAGTGGTGCTCCAAACATAGGTTCCTTTTTCACGATATTCAAAACTTTGATCCTATTTTTTACACTTTGACCATGCCTGTAAATTCGTAAAGCTCGTAAAGCTTCACACTTGAAACATCATCTCCTCAGTGACCACACCCCAATTTTTTCAAGAGGCTCGAATCCTATCTGACATAGCAACCATATCAAGAATCTATTTGTGGACATTCATGAAAGATGGTATTTGTTAAGATGGTATGTATTTTTCTCCATATTGCCTTTCCCCTGAACAGGTACTTCAGAATATCATTCTGAAGTGTTTGCAAACAGCTTCTGATGACGGATGCCGAACCATTGCCTTCCCAGCCCTAGGCACAGGGAACCTGGGCTATGCACCTGACTTCGTGGCTCAGACTATGTACACAGTTGTCAATAACTTTCAAGAGAGAAGCACCTCACTGGAAGAAGTTCGAGTAGTGATTTATCCATCAGACAAACAAGTCATCCAGGTAAGAGATAACACATAATTACAGCATTATTATTATTATTATTATTATTATTATTATTATTATTATTATTATTATTATTATTATTATTATTATTCCATCATTCCAAACTGACTTTCGCGTGAGATGTAGTATGGGTGTGATCAAACATATTTCCATGTGTTAGAAAACAACACCTGATGACAAATGACGAACCATTGCGTTACTAACCCTTGACATTGGGAACTTTGGCTCTGCAACTGATTTCATGGTTCAGACTATGTACACAGTTGCAAAGGAGATAAGGCTGTAATTGCATTCTATCACAACGCTTTGCGTGTCATTGTGAGTTTGTGACGTCACCAGTTACCATAAAAAGGTCGAAGATTCATGCGGGATGACCTGATAGAATCTCACACTCATACTGTTATTAAAAGACACTCGATGGAGATTCTTAATCTTAAACAAGGAATATATTTTATTTTGTGTTATTTCTGTACTCAAAGAGTATGTATGTGTTTTCTTTTTCAATCCTTCACAAAGGCCTTTGAAAAGTATAAAAGACTAATGGAGACAGGAGAGATAACTGAGCCAGCAGTTGGGATAAAGGATCGCCGTTCTTTCTTTGAACAACTGAACACTGAAGGTATGCAGAGACTTTTGTTTTCTCGGTTGAGGGAAACCATTTCTTGTTCTTTTGTTGAAATAGGGACAGTATCTCGTTCATTAAATTGTTCAGTTATATTTGAATACATACATTTTAACTTGTATTGAAGATTCATGGGTATCCGAGACTGAATCGGACGGACTTCAGATTGGACGGCTAAACGTTCAGATCAAACAAGGGGACATAACCAAGGAGGACGCTGACTGCATCGTCAACAGTACAAACCCTGACCTGGACCTACAAAGAGGTAAAACAAGAGCGGGTTGACGCTGTAGATCAGTAGTAGTTTGTATTGCTTGTTACCGTTAAACTGTTAGAAGGATATCTCGCTTTATAACACAGCTGTGATGTGTTCAGTTGTGAAAACCGTTTAGTATCTACTGCAATGAAACTGGAACGTCTTGGATCTGAAGACGTGTTGGGCCATGGTATAACTTGTTTATGGTATAGAACTGAAAAAAAATTGAACATTCAATTTCGTAATCGTCTTCTCGGTAATCTGAAACACTGATATAATATGTACAACTATAGTTGGATTCAGATTGCAGATTGCATTCGGCTCGTGTTGTACTTGGCTGGGATATGTTTGTGAGATGTTTGCATGTGTTTGTGTGATGTTTGCATGTGTTTATGAGATGTTTGCTTGTGATTGTGAGATGTTTGTATGTGATTGTGAGATGTTTGCTTGTGATTGTGAGATGTTTGCTTGTGATTGTGAGATGTTTGCTTGTGTTTGTGTGATGTTTGCTTGTGATTGTGTGATGTTTGCTTGTGATTGTGAGATGTTTGCTTGTGTTTGTGTGATGTTTGCATGTGATTGTGAGATGTTTGCATGTTTGTGTGATGTTTGCATGTTTGTGTGATGTTTGCTTGTGTTTGTGAGATGTTTGCATGTGATTGTGAGATGTTTGCTTGTGATTGTGAGATGTTTGCTTGTGTTTGTGAGATGTTTGCTTGTGATTGTGAGATGTTTGCTTGTGTTTGTGTGATGTTTGCACGTGTTTGTGAGATGTTTGCATGTTTGTGAGATGTTTGCATGTGTTTGTGATTGGTGCCACCTCCGGGGTAAGATGTGCTCACCTTTTCGCCAACACCTTTTATCAACACTAGTTCGTAGTGATTCTTTTGTTATAAACTGCGGGCAGAAGGAAGTACACGCATTCTAAATGTTATCAAAACGTTACTGGTCTGAAAACACTCGCCGAAACACTGCAAACTAAAGGTAAAAAATACATAGAGGTTATCACGCGAGTGTGTTTGGGGATGGTAAATATCCTGTATTAGGAATAAACATTGTATTTAGCGAGCCTTGGCGAGCTAAATACATAGTGTTTATTCCTAATACAGGATATTTACCATCCCCGAACACACAAGCGTGATAACCTCTTTATCATATAATGTCATTCTTTAATTCTGTGCTTCAAAATCGCTTTCCCTCTCTCACAAACATTAACCGAAACATTGCGAGTTTTCCTGGAATGCGCGCATTAATATTTATTACGTCACAGGGTAAGTGATGTGTCAGTCGGACAGTGACAGTAGCCAATATAGTTCCAACTGAAATCTATTTCTTATGCAGTGGCGAAGCAACATAAACGCAAAACAACAATTGTTTTTAATTGCCTTTCGCGGCAATCCATCGGTCTGTCCGCTAGAGTAACTGCCCTTTGTCAAAGGGAAGCTACTCTAACCCTAGTCTATGAGACGTCACGGCCACGGTCAGACGTTGTTGACAGTCGGTCTGTCCTGTCATAACGTATGAAGTGTAGTCAGATGTACACACAGCGACAAAACGAACAAGGTAACAATTCAAATATATTTCGGCCAAATCCAACTATTTTAATTTGTGGAGCAGGTTTCAAGCCGCCGAGATCTACAAGCACAGATATGGCTACTGATCCCGCTTGGCTAGGCCTCGTGCCCTCGAAAAATTGTTTCGAAATTTATATCTCCAAAGTTGCCAAAACTTATAAAATAGCAATTATCCCTGTAGTTTATCCAGATTCCCGATGGTTAATTCTGACTCGATCGCCGAATGACGAGGGCGACGCCATGATTGTTTATGAACAGTGAAAGTAGTCCCTACTTGACCTTTGATATTTGCATCTCTATCCGCATATGACCCCAACGGATATCGTTTTTATCCGTTGGCTTTATCCTGCCGAGAAACCTACCCATTATATGATAAAACATGATACCCGTATCAAATACATCACCATCGAATAGCAATTTCGTGTTTTATCCACTATAAAACTTTGTTGTATACTCTCTTTTGCCCGGCAGTTTAGTCAGCATTGTACAGTGGGTTTATGTAGAGATGTCATTTGTGATTATGGAAATGTTTGTGCATCCTCTCTTCAATACCCTTCTTAGGGGATGGAATGCAGATTATATACTTAATTTACAAAAAGGTACTGTGTGTTCCCAAATATACCTGTTTGCAACTGTGCCTTGGCGCTATTTCTATATTCCAACTTCTGTATTTGCGGATGGGATGAAACTTATACACTTAATTAAAAAAATAATTATGTAGAAGATATTTGAAATTGGTGCATGCTATTGTTGAACATCAAATATTCAAATAGTTCTTTGTGCTTAAGTATTTCAATACTCAAATCTTTCAGTATTAACAAGCTCCGACGCATGTTGCTCATTTTGAATGTTAAAAACTATATAACCGTGATATTACTTTATAACTTTATTATAATCTGTTTAGATTTGGGCCTAGAAACAGCACATACTTTACTGTCTTGTTGCTCCCTAGTAGGGATTTCGGGGTAGACTAGGTCCCAAACAAAATGCAACCTAAAGGGATTGGCGACAAAAGGGATCGGGTAGTCATGACTTGGTTGATTGCGATAGTGTGGGACAATGGTCATAATTTCGATCACTGGATTGTCTGGTCCAGACTTTATTACTTACAGAAACGCCGTCATATATCTGGTATATTGAGCATCGTTAGACAAGAAAAGTCAATAAATAGTGAGCCTATTTGCACATATTGACATATTGAATATTTCCACGATTTTCTGTTCCAGGTGCTGTGTCCGTAGCTATCGCCACAGCATGCGGAAAAGACATGACGTCACAGTGCAAAATGAAAGGTAAGGAACAAGTGCTTGTTTGGAAAAACAACGAGAATCGTTTTACATTCAAAAACAAGTATTCTTTGTAACTTGAATATGTGGTTCAATACAATAAATAGTTATGAAAAGGCTCGGTTTAATATAGCAGCTATTGGCGTTATGTGAAGTGCTGTTGGAGTTATAGGAAGACAATTAGCAACAATTGGGTCAGATGTTCCACACGTTCTGTACCATAATACAAGGACTCAAATAAACTAACAAAAAGTCTGTGAAATCTTTTATTACATATAACATTTCTCTCCTCCAAAATAACAGTTGTCCTGTTAACTTGCTAGACGTTTTTTCTAACCTAGATTGGTGGCACGGGTGGCCTAGTCGTCTAAGGCGCCGCGATTCGCTGTGCGGAGTTGCGTCCCTTGGGCAAGCCAGAAACCTATGATTGTGGCTTCGAATCCCGGTTTCTAGGTTTGTCAGCACCATAACCGTGCTCGTTGGTTTCACCGAAGTGTTAAACGTCTGACACCTGCATCACTTCAGGCTTTCCTCCCACATTAAGCTGACACGCCGTGATATAACTGGAATACTGTTAAAAGCGGCGTTACACCCAACTCACTCACTCACTCTAACCTAGATTGGTTTCGGTCTCATAACCTACATTTATTCCACACTCATGGTGCAGGACTACGATGTACATTCAGGTTCCACCTATAAATTTGTCACTCATCTTTTGCACCTCTATTATACCCCTGTTAACAATCTCTAAATACCATTGGTTAATCTGGACCACGTGACGAAACAACACATTTCAATGTCGACCCCCGAAATCATGTGACTGACACAGACCTCGAATATTGACTCGTCACATGACCAGTTTTGATCACATGTGATGAATATTGACTCGTCTGCTAGAAAACAACGAACAATTCACGGTTCGCAGCTAAGTTACTGTAATGAAATACAGGACGTTTTAAAGACTTCATCAACTTTTAAGTGAATTTCGGTATAACAAAGCGATAGAATATTTTGGACGAGGTAAAAATGCGAAAATAAGGACCCTCGGAAGCGACCGCTTCAGCGAGTCTGGCCACCAAAAGGGTTGGGTCCTAGGATCTTTGTTTTCGCACAGTGACCTCGTCAAGAGTAACTTTTTGTATAAGATTGCGTTGATGTCAGCGAAAAAAGGCGACTTTGGGATTGTGTAAGATACATTATGAATACTGAGAAACTCATATTACCTTTTTATATTGAGAAACTCATAGTAATATTTATACTGACAAACACAAATCACTCATAGTAATATTTATACTGAGAAGCACATAGTAATATTTATATTGAGAAACTCTTAGTACTATGTACATTGAGAAACTCTTAGTACAATGTATACTGAGACATTCATAATACTGTGTATATTGAGAAACTCTTAGTACTATGTATATTGGGAAACTCATAATACTATGTATATTGAGAAACTCATAATACTATGTATATTGAGAAACTCATAATACTATGTATATTGAGAAACTCATAGTAATATTTATACTGACAAACACAAATCACTCATAGTAATATTTATATTGAGAAACTCTTAGTGCAATGAATATTGAGAAACTTTAAGCTGCGGCTCCTGTAGTAAGTCAGCCATGTTCATACACACAGGTGTGATCGGCTGCGGCTCCTGTAGTAAGTCAGCCATGTTCATACACACAGGTGTGATCACCTGCGCCTCCTGTAGTGATTCAGCCATGTTCATACACACAGGTGTGATCAGCTGCGCCTCCTGTAGTAAGTCAGCCATGTTCATACATACAGGTATAAATAGCTGCGCCTCCTGTAGTGAGTCAGCCATGTTCATACATACAGGTGCGATCAGCTGCGCCTCCTGTAGTAAGTCAGCCATGTTATACACACAGGTGTGATCAGCTGCGCCTGCTGTAGTAAGTCAGCAATGTTTATACATACAGATGTGATCGTCTGCGCCTCCTGTAGTAAGTCAGCCATGTTCATACACACAGGTGTGATCGACTGCGCCTCCTGTAGTAAGTCAGCCATGTTCATACATACATATGTGATCGGCTGCGGCTCCTGTAGTAAGTCAGCCATGTTTATACAAACAGATGTGATCAGCTGCGCCTCCTGTAGTAAGTCAGCCATGTTCATACACACAGATGTGATCAGCTGCGCCTCCTGTAGTAAGGCAGCCATGTTCATACACACAGGTGTGATCGGCTGCGCCTCCTGTAGTAAGTCAGCCATGTTCATACATACAGATGTGATCGGCTGCGGCTCCTGTAGTGAGTCAGCCATGTTCATACACACAGATGTGATCAGCTACGCCTCCTGTAGTAAGTCAGCCATGTTCATACATACAGGTATAAATAGCTGCGGCTCCTGTAGTGAGTCAGCCATGTTCATACACACAGATGTGATCAGCTGCGCCTCCTGTAGTAAGTCAGCCATGTTCATACACACAGGTGTGATCAGCTGCGCCTCCTGTAGTAATGTCCACCATGTTCATACATACAGGTGTGATCAGGTGCGCCTCCTGTAGTAAGTCAGCCATGTTCATACACACATGTGTGATCAGCTGCGGCTCCTGTAGTGAGTCAGCCATGTTCATACACACAGATGTGATCAGCTGCGCCTCCTGTAGTAAGTCAGCCATGTTCATACACACAGATGTGATCAGCTGCGCCTCCTGTAGTAAGTCAGCCATGTTCATACACACAGATGTGATTAGCTGCGGCTCCTGTAGTATGTCAGCCATGTTCATACAAACAGATGTGATCAGCTGCGCCTCCTGTAGTGAGTCAGCCATGTTCATACACACAGGTGTGATCAGCTGCGCCTCCTGTAGTAAGTCAGCCATGTTCATACACACAGATGTGATCAGCTGCGGCTCCTGTAGTAAGTCAGCCATGTTCATACATACAGGTATAAATAGCTGCGGTTCTCCATGAAAAATATATGCAGTGTGTGTTCTAGGCAAATAGTGTGTTATACAAAGATATCTACGCTGCAACATCTTTCTCCGGTAAAAACGTGCGTGTGTTTATGGAAATTCGATAATTCCAAAGACTGATCAGAACCATACTTTATATATAGTGTACGAAATGAGGCAGAACGGTGTTGTCAGCACGACAGCGAAAGGTCTGAAGTGTAACTACGTCCTACATGTGGCGGGGGACCATTTTGGCAATGACTGGAAGAAAGTTGTCCTCACATGTTTGAGAGAGGCAGACGAATTGGGTGATGCGCGCTCAATTGCCCTTCCGGTCCTTGGAACAGGTAGGTTCAAGTTATTTTTTTCAAGTTAATAATGAAATAAGGATAATTTGGTGTTCAATGAATGAATATGTACCGTGCTAATATACCTATATTTATTCATATATATTAATGTTTCGTTCCCAAATATACTACAAGTCAACTATAGGTCACTGTATTGTGAGTGAATGAGTGATTGAGTGATTTATTAAGTGCGTGTCATTTTACGCCACTTTAATAAGTATTCTAGCAATATCATGGCGGGGACACCAGAAAAACTGCTTTACATTTTGTACCCATGTGGGGAGTCGAACACTTTAACCACTAGCCTACCCAAACCACCCTTAATAGTTTATGCTAATTATGATAACAATACCGTCACTTAATGCCACCAGGTTCTGGTCACGTCAACCCTCAAGAAATATCCGAGATCATGGTTCATGCCTTTGCCGAGTTCGAGCCTCAAGCATCCAACCTGACAGATGTACGGGTGGTTGTGTTCCAGAAGTCAATGTTTCTCACAATTTCGTCTCAGATGAAGGAATCAGTGAAATCATTGAATCAACAATCCACCATACGAACACCTAAAACAGGTAAGAAATAAGAGCGGGACTATTTGTCAATATTTGATATAGGATTTATTCCTTTGAACTTTCCTGTAACGTAGGATGGGGAGTGAGTGAGTGTGGTTTTACGCCGCTTTTAGCAATATTTCAGCAATATCACGGCGGGGGACACCAGAAATGGGCTTCACACATTGAACCCATGTCTGGAATCGAACCCGGGTCTTCGGTGTGACGAAGGCTATCCGACCGCTCCTTAACGTAGGATGGAGTCATTTTCACAGGTAAGTAACATGTTTCTTGTAATTCATTGTCAGTGTGTTAGTCAATACCAGGATAAAGATAAAGTACTTTATAGTGCCATAAGCACCAGGTAACATCAATGTATTAATAACACTGAATCAATAAATCAACATTTGTCTACTAACAAGAACGGGGTGTCGCCTTTACGATACCTGTGATGTCAAGACGGTAGTGGGTAGTTAGTTGTATTATATATACTGTTTATATTCAGGAGTCAGTAATAATTAAGGATCAAAATGACTCCACATGCAGTATCACAAACAAATATTGAACGTCAACGTCAGATACTGATCAGTCTCGATTATCTGTCGAAACAGATTCCACTGGTCGTCATTGGCAAAATAGTTTTAAACTTGTTTTAAATAGGTCACTGAAAATCAGGTATACATTTACCGCGAGTACAAGTGTATAAAATATTAATACTATCAACAGAAATTCATTTTCACGTCAGAGATACTCTAGACAATCAATACTGAAATGATTGCAATGTTTACTGGTTGCTCCAGTCTCAATTAGAAAATGTGACACCTTATGTTCCTGTTCTTATCGTTGATAAACATCTCTAGTTTCTTGGGTTTTTTTAGGTAACGTCTTGATGATATGATGAGACACTGATTGTTGTAAATTCAATTTTCCAGGCAAACTGATCATAGGCGTCACAAGGTCAACATGTGTTCGCGTGTGATAATGAAATAATTATCAAGGCTTCCAATCAACGTCAAAATATTGAATAGCTTAAATTAAAGGTACATTCGGTTTCTTTAGCAACTACTAGTACATGTTCAAAGAAAGTTGGCAAAATCACTTCCAAGTTAAACCCGTGTGAAGAGAAATATGATGTGATGAGCATGACCTTCTTGGTAATGGCATAAATACGAGAAAAGCGCACATAATATCTCTATGTTAGTGGCTGATTCATGAGGATTTTCTGCTCTTGATCCAGTTACGTGTAGATGCGTATACAGCCAAGTCTAACGGACGGGTGGCCAAGCGGATTCTTCCTGATCAAATCTAGTGTAGAGTAAATAATACCTCCATGAGGTGGTGGCTTGTAGGGGTACCTGCTGCCATTAAAATGTGTGATTCTATTAAACGTTCTGCTCATGATCCAGTTACGTGTAAATGCGTATACAATCATATTTATATAACGGGTGGCCCAGCGGTCTAAGGTGTCGCACTTTCGCTGTCTTATGCAAGGCATCAACCCCCGGTCCCAGTTTCCTTCTGATTATATATCGCTTAATTTGTCAGTGTGTCGTTGGTTTTTTAGTCGTAAAGACCTGTGTTTCCCACATCAAACTGACACGTCTTGCTACGACTGAATAGTGTTCAAAGCAGCGTTAACTTAATCTTGCTCGGTCTCTCATCATCTTTGTTTTAGTTCCAGGGGTTCGTGGGATTGTTTCAGAAGGTCCCTGGAGCGCCTCCGCCGGCTCTGGTAGCATACAGTTTGGAAATATTACAGTGCAAATGAAACAAGGGGACATAACAGAAGAAGACACAGACTGTATCGTGAACAGCACCAACATGGAACTGGACCTAAAGAAAGGTGGGGCAGCCGTTAGTAAGACTATTAGCAGAAAATAGGAGGAAAAGAGAGGAGCCAATTGATACCATAACCAGACCTTTGCAGTGCAATATATAAGACAGTTGAATCTATAGCAGAAGATAGCAGGACTATAGAGTAGCCGGATGGTATCATGTGAAGACAATTCCACTTACTTCCATTTAAAGACCATTAGCAGAATAAATGAGTAATATAGAGATGTACTGTACCGTAAGGTAAAGAACGTATTAAAGAATTAAAGAATGTCAGGGAAATAGTGAATATTTTACTTCCACATTAAGATCATTAAAGGAATTGGAAAGTATAGGTACGTTTTACTATCACAACTTCACCAGGGACCTACATATGCTCCTTTAAATAAACCTGATAAAGATATACATTTTGTTTTACTGTACACTATTTTTAATCAACGATAACACCTGTATTTACATGATATGCCTGAAGTTGTCTCAATGGATACTTAAGGAAATGTAAAGGTAGACGTGGCTTAGCAAAGAAGAATTACATGATAAACTGAAAGAGGAATGCCTTACGTGTGCTGTGTATGGTATATTTCCTTAAGGTGCTGTCTCAAGTGCTATCAGGAAAGCATGTGGCAAAGATATGGAGTCGCAGTGTGCAAAGAAAGGTGAGATTCATATCGATTCTCTGTGCAGTTGTGTAAGACACTTGCTATACCCTGGAGTTGTACATTGTAGATAATATAACATTTCAGGAAGACTTCAGATCTTTTATGTGGAAATGTTACATCAATGTAACATTAATATTAATGTAATCTAGCATTCTGAATGTCATGTGAATTATGTAATCGCTCGTGGTCGGTGTTACACAAGTAGAAAACGAAGCTCACGTCATTGTGAGTATCTATCAAAAAGGGTTTATCCACTAGAATGTTTTGTTGATATGAGTGAGAGAAGTTGAGTTCAGTTTCAAGTCCATGGGAAACATCCCAAAAGCAATCATTAGCTCCGGCACGTGAGTATCCAGATTTCAAGGGAATCCGATCCCAATGCATAGTTACACCCAGTATTGTCAGGCCGCAAGTACATGTTCAAGTCTGGATTGGCACAACTGGTTTCTTTTACTTAACTTCTTTATCGGTAGCATGACCAGAATGCATGCTTGAATTTACATTTGCTGTTACAGTTGATGACATGAGACAGCATGGCGTTATCAGCACGACATCCAAAGGTCTGAAGTGTAAATACGTCCTCCATGTGGCCGGGCACCATTTCGGCAATGACTGGAAGAAAGTAGTCCTCAGCTGTCTGGAAGAGGCAGAAAAACTGCGTGGTGCACAGTCAGTAGCATTCCCTTTGCTGGGAACAGGTAACGTGGCTAGAACTGGTAGCAGTCGTTGTGAGTGTGTTAATATTTTACATATTATTATTGGTAATGTTTCATCCATGTTTGGATCAGAATATATGTTTCGTTGTAGTTCTCAATCAACAAATGAAGAATATTGGAAAATATAACAGATTTAGTGGTCGTTTTTCGGAACTTGAAAGAAACAGCAGTGGTCAATAATGATAAGAACAACTACAACAACAACAATAATAATAAAAATAATATTAATAATAATAAAAAGAAGCTGAAGAGATGTGCAGCAGTCAGAATGTTCCTTTCATAGTTGTACTTTACATCTATATGACAGCTTCTATTGTATCAAGCAACATTTTCTGTACAGGCATCGGTAATATACAGCCTGAGGATATTGCCAAGCGTATGTCACAAGCATTTGCTGAGTTCGGACCTCAGGCTGTTAACATCAGCGATGTTCGAGTAGTTGTATTCCAGGAAGCAATGTTAAAACCATTTGCTGCAATGGTGAAACACTCGGCAGGCACAGGAGGAATACCACAGGCACAATCTATCATTACAAGAGGTAAGTATTTACCAATAAGGTGCAGGGGTTGTATTTGTGCTGTTAACGATTGCAAAGAGATACCCCATAGGAAAATGATCTTTAATAATATTAAATAATATTTCAAACAACTTCAAACTTTCACATCCAAATTCTGCCTTGATATTAGTTTTGTTTTACACAAATTATGGTTAAATGTATTCTACTTTAATTTCCTATAAGAGATGTGCAAGAGAGGGAGAAAGAATTATTTTTTTCTTTGGACCCATCAGACACAAAAATCTCATCAAGCTACCCTAGTTTGTCTGAACAATTAGTAGTTGGAAAATAGGCCATGTCGTCATTATTGTCATTATTTTCAGTTATCCATAAATTTAACTGATTACAGTTACTTTTGTGTTTGAGTATTTGCTGAACTAATTTCCTTATTATTATTAACCGTGATGGAATGACCTCGTTGCATTCATAGGCGGGATGGAAAGGGTTTTGTCGTTTTATCTATCAATAAGATAACTGCCTTTACGCTTCCCAAGGATTGGTAGGTTCCATCTTGTTCTTCGTACATTTCGTCAGGCACCACTTCGACAGGGAGGGTTGATCTCTTCTTCTTCTCTGACCAATCAGACAACATAGCCAATGGTATAAGGAACCTGGAAGCACTATGCAAGGAGGAATGGATTACAGAGACATCACAGGACCAAGTGATAACAAAACTAACAGACCATCAGGTTACGACATTCACTTCACAGTAGCAATGTCCATTATTTGAGTTTGGAACATGTGTATTGCCATTAGAGGTTTTGCAAGAAGACAATACCAGCCTTCAACAGTTACTAGTCAAATATGGTCCTAAATCCCGTGAACAGCCTTATACCAGTTAGGATCACAACTTTACAATCATTATGGATCCTGTCAAAACATTTGATAAAATAATGGCCAAAAGAGAAGATGAACCTGTTGAATGTATTTCGGGGTGGCTTAAGTCAGTATGTGATGTTGTCTTTGGTAGAATGAGAAAAATGAAGAAAATAAAACTAGGAAACAATATTGGAATAACAAAATGAAACTTGATGCCATTGATGAAAAGTTTATAGTAGATCCAACTGACATTGCCTCAAATAACTCTGCCATTGTATAGAAGGATCACTACGCATTCAATGCTTAATCAAAGAGCTTGCCATAAGTGACATCTCAAATAATGCCACAAATAACTGAAGAAATATGCCAAAACCACGCATTGGATTGGCAACACGGGCATTTGGCCAAGCCATTTAACTTAAAGCTTCCGGAATTTCGATTATCTGGTATCGTTAAAAAATATTAAAATACCCAATTTCCTTCCACTGATTTACCCACCTGAACTAGAAATATAGGAGACCAGTGAGCCCGCCTCATCCGTCCCTTTCTGTCCAGCAATATTCCAGAAGTTCCAGGCCTTGGTGTCTACATTTCACAACGTTTGAGGTACAATCGAGGATGCTCTTTTTACGAAGATTTGAAAGAGCGTCATACGAATCTTGCACAAAGGCTGTTTGATCAGCGTTACAACAACCACGTTCTTAAAGAAGCATTAGATAAGTTTTATGGTAGACATTTGGTCCGTCAATGAGCAAAATGATGTTGTACCATATATTCCTGTGTGATTTATTTTTCAAATGAACAATTGACCTGCATTTGCAATTGTTGAGGGCAGGATACGCTCACTTTTTCGTAAACACTATTTTTGTAGTGATTCCTAAACAAATGCTTATGAGTGAGTACTAGTGAGTAAGTGAGGAGTGTTTTACGCCGCTTTTAACAATATTCCAGCAATATCACGGCGAGGGACACCAGAATCGGGCTTCACACATTGTACCCATGTGGGGAATCGAACGCTTTCGGCGTGACGAGCGAACGCTTTAACCACAAGGCTATTCCTCCAACCCTCTCAGGCTTATGATTTGTTGTTTAACGCCAAACTCAGCAATAGTCCAGCTATATGACGGCTATCTGTAAATAATCGAGTCTGGACCAGACAAGCCAGTGATTGACATCATGAGCATCGTTCCAAGCAATTGGGATACGATGACATGCATCAACCAAGTCAGCGAGCCTGACCTGCCGATCCCGTTAGGAGCCTCTTACGACAAGCATATGATGCTTATGAAATAGTCGGAATCGTGCGACGGACTCTGCTACATATTAATTATAATTATTGAAAAGGTTTTATCGTTTTTGTTTGCAAATGTATTTCTACAAAAAGACCTCTCAAATATATGTTATTATTTACTAGCCTCTTCAATCCACTTTTGTTTCCCCCTTTTATAATTTGTTGTGAATTTCAATTTCATTTGAAAAAAAGTCTTAGATAAATATTCAGATTCTTTGGAATTGTTATTTGCAGCATAATAAATATACTTTCGAATCCCTAATTGTTGGATTAGAAGTAGATACCCTTAGGATATCGAGCATCCTGACGATTTACTGACACAGAAAATATACTTCCAGATTGACTCCTTGCATAAACGCTTTGATGTGGAGCTAAGAGTCGACAGAAACAAAGGAGCTATAGAACTGACAGGACTGAGAGGTGAGGTTGGGCTTGCCACAGGAAAGGTTTTTCAATACCTACGTGACATTGAGAAGGAGGAGAGCGAAACAGAAAAGGCGACCCTACTCTCTCGAACAATACAGTGGGCCTATTTCAAGAAAGACAGTCCTTCCGATAAGAAGGACTTTGGTAAGAAGGAAAATGCAGCAATCGAAAAGGCATTTACAGACAATAAGAAGTCGTGCAAGGTACCTTTCATGAAGACCAAGATCGAAATCGACTTTTCGTCCTTGGAGGGAACAGCAGCAAAGAAAACATACAATGTCATGCGACGAGACCTTTTGCAGGGTGAGAAAATAGTATTATCTAAGGTGTATCTAAATATACTAACGGAATAATTAACTGTGCTTCACATAACTTTCATTAAAAATAAATTTACTATGAAGTTATGTAATGCAGTTTTTAATACATATTATTTAAGACATCTCCTCGACTATAAGGTCGAGATTCACAATTTACACGCGCACGATTAGGATCTTTGCGTGTTCGTTGGGAGCATGATAATTACACACGTGGTATTTGTCATGTGAACAGCACACAATAATTGTAGACCTATCGTGCCCATGAAAACGTTTTTGTTTAACCGTAACAAACGCTTATGCAAAGCCAGGGCTTCAATGTCTCTCGTGTCTTCAATGCACCACCGCTCTGTATCAACGCATATGGTAGTCACATCCGATTGTGGCATTGTTAATTGAGCTGTTACACCACCACTCTGTGGGGGCGTGTGGCTCTGTCTCCTGTTACCATGTATAGGTTATGTCAACGAATTCGTTGTGATAAAACATTGATCAGAGGAGTGATCAAATATTATGTTGTTATTTTCAATAACATAACGTTTACACCACTTTATGTGAAGCACAGTTATACTTTTCCGATAGTATATATAGACACTGGTAAAACGCCATCTGACAACTAAGGCGACGTGTTTGAAGACAAATATATTCAATTTCAATGCCACGATGAATAGGAGATTATTTATTTCTTTGTGATTAGAACACGGTGGACAACAAACTGTCAACCCTAATTCGGCATACAGTATTAGCAGATACAGCCATTCATATTTTTCTCAACGATGAGGTCAAGGAGTAGTCTGTTTAAGCAAATACATACGAACCACACTTCTTAACTACACACTATCCTTACGTGAAGAGAATATATACATTGTGACATTCGTGTAGGTGTCATACTTAATTAAATGTATTTATATCCTACGTGTTGTTTTTCAGAGGCCAAACAATCAATATTTGACCTACCTCCGAGCTGGCAGAAAATGGTGGATGATGTTAATATTGAGTGTTTTCAAGTCGCAGCTGGCGGTGAAGAGTTTAAGACGGTTGAACAAACATTTATGTCAACTATCAACAACAGCAATGCCAAGGTTCTTCAGGTACGATACCACAATCTCTATAAAACGCACAGTCGATGAACTTGAAATATCATGATAGTTTTTCCTTGCCTCTGCCTCTCAAAATACAAATATACGCGTAAGCTGAGGAGATTTCCCTTTTAAGTAGGTTCTTGAAAAGCTGTTAAAGTTCGTAAGTCAATATTAACTAAGATCTGATGACATTGACTAAACCTTTACTGAGACTTGTTCTAGATGCGAGAAATAACATAGATCCACGTAAATCAGGAAACGTCTGTTTGCAAATCGGTTAAAATTTATTAGGTCAAACGTCATATGGACCTCTTTCCCGATGTAAATGATATCCTCCGGGTGAAGATAGTCATTGAAATTATAAAGTCTTTGACAAAATCGTAGTAGCAGCGGGAAATTATACATAAGAACATAATATCAAAATAACGAATAACTTTATCATATGCATGTATTTATGAATTACCATCCAATAGTGACGATACGATGTAACACGGACATGATCTGACACTCTTTACGATACAATGGCATAAAGATATATGGATGTTTTTAAACCCAACACACTCAATGCTATCTGATGTATGGTTCACACGCGGAGGTGATTCTATTTCTGGAACAGTGCATCATTAACCTCAATATTTATAACACAAAACTAATGATAACATGGCATATTAGGCACGGACATGTTTGCATAAAATATGTGCATCTATCTATGGAAAGAACTTTTTACATTTGTAACAGAAATAGTAGATTCCTCTTGATCGTCATCTGAATGTCGGATAGAACACCATCTCCGTTGTGTATTACATATGTGCTGGCTGTATGTAGAGTCCTCCCATTAAAATAAATTTCTTACCTATGAAGACCTTATCATAAAACTAATTGGAATTTTGTATGGAGACTAGATAATTTTCAGCTGCAGTGGTAAAACCAGATTTTTTAATCAAAGCCATGAGCTAGAATAATTTTAATAATATCAAATGGTCGCTCCCTTAGCAACTCAACGCATTTCAACTTGCACATTATAGTCTGCCAGGACGTGACTTGAAGTGTACCCTTACAACCTTTGCAGTGGTTTGTAACCTACGACGTTGACTAACACCTTCCCTGTTACTGAAAAGTACCATCATACATTGCGTATTTGTCATAGGTGACTCGCATTCAGAACAGATCTCTGTACCAGCAATATGCGGCAAAAAGGAAGCAACTGGAAAAGCAGAACCCCCAGGGTACCCAGAACGAGGCATGGCTGTGGCACGGTACCAGCACAGATGCTATAGGCAGCATCAATGCACATGGGTTCAACAGAAGCTATTGTGGGAAAAATGGTATGTATTGCTTCAGACAGACAGGCATATATGGCCAAAAGGCCAATAATACATCGCATATACAATGATATAGTTAATACTTGCTGCGCAATCTTGGCATTATAGTTTCGTAGAGTATAAGACGGGTTTACAGAAATGCACTTCATAGCAGATATATATGGGTTTCTTCGCTCTCAAGTGAAATACGCGGTACAATAACACGGATAACTTAAGTAACATATTCACACTTTCGATTTTAAGTATATCATACAACTTTTCCCGAGATGGTCCGTTTTTTAAATACGGTTGCATGTAATCATTTCTTGGACTTGCATATTCTGGACATATTGATAGTACGTGATATTCATCTTAATTAGGGGTCCCCCGCCGTGATATTGGTGGAAGATTGCTAAAGGTGGCGTAAAACCATACGCCCTGATTCTTCATTAGGGTGGTTAGAGTATGGACAGGGTGCATATTCAATTGCCGTGTTTTTTTGGAAAATCTAGCTGCTCTAATGTTAACATTACGTACATTGCAGCTAAATTTGGGTAACATTCGACGGAGATTGTTTTTCATTACATAAGGTAATGATGCAATTGAACTTTTGATTTCAGAAGAATAATTTAAATAATTTGACTTATGAATTACTCATGTTGATAAATATCTTTACATCTTTGTTTCAAAATATTAAGAAATACCTTTCTGTCACCTACATCTTGTGCAAGCTAGACATGCCCCAAATTATTAAAATGGTATTCGTCAGAAAAAAAACACGGTTTTCGTCCCCTGCATCATCTAATCTAATGTGTAAATCATAACATTGTCTGGAGTTTCTGTTAATGGTTGTCTGGTAAACCGTATCCAACAAGACAGAACTCTACAGTGAGCATTTATGAACAGCTGGAAGCGACCACATTCTGTTCAAACAACTTCACTTGCAGCTTTGTAACATGTGTGCAATAGAAATTTTATATGAAGTTTATCAATTGCCTCACTACAATTCCCCTCCTTTATCAGTCACAGCAATGGTTGAACAAGCATCTCTAGTATTCAATGTGGTGCCAAACGAGTGTACATGGTGAAGGCCCAGACTAACACTTAGTCTCTGAAAATATATGATTTTGATAGAAACAAATAATTCCATGTAAATTGAAATGGAGCCCCAGTGAGATGGGAGACTTGCTTCATTTAGGGCTTGTTCATCACAGAAAGGCCTGGGTGGAATGGAAAATAATATGGTCTAGTGACTGTGAGAAAGACAGGGACTGTGGAAGGCTGTGAGGCCGGAAGCTTGAGATTGCATATTTTTATATATGTATTTGAATTCCTCATTGGAAATTATCACAAAAGAAGAGCGATTTTTTTAAGAACAGTAAATGTGCATATGTTTTTTTTCGGATACGATTCACGTTACACATATTTTACTTGTGAAAAGTACATAATGACACCTTTAGATATACACTGTTCGTAGCATTCAAGGAATGGCTACTTGCTCTTAATATTCCAATGGGTCTACAGATAACCGCTTCCAATTTCAGCCACCGCCTACGGCCAAGGAGTGTATTTCGCTGTTAATGCCGAATATTCTGCCCAAGATACATACTCCAGACCGGCCGCACAAGGGCAGAAATACTTGTACCTGGTTCGAGTCTTGATTGGTGAATATACTTTGGGGAAACATGGGATGAGAGTTCCACCGTCCAAGACAGGAAGCACTGGCACTGAGCTGTATGACTCGGTCGTGAATGATATTAACAATATTCACATGTACGTTGTGTTCAATGATACACAGGCTTACCCAGATTATCTGGTCACATTCCAACCTTGAAATGGTGTAAATGTGTTGACAAGTTTGTATTTGTTAGAAACCACTTGTGTTGAAGTATAATGTAACCTTTCAGTAAAGTTAGAAGTATCAATATTTTATTTGAAATTTTTGAATATCTCACATACATTAGTTATTCCGTGAGCAGCAGCGCTCGAACCTGTACATGTATTGTTGTGAGTGAGTATGGTTTTACGTGTTTATTGAAATAGTATCACATTTAACCTCGCTGCAGATATTTTCTTATTTCAAAGTGTAGTTGTAGTTATAGTAATATTGTGTATATTTTGAAATCATATACATCACGTACCTATGCAAAATACAGGCGCCTTGTGTGCGAGATTGAAGTCTCAATCACAACAAATTTCACAAAACGAGTAAAGTGTACAGTTTTAAATGGGGAATCAAACTTGCTCTCTGGCTCGTACGTTTGACTCAATAACTAAATATCCAAGCACAAGGCTTCTATAGTTGAAGTTCGATGATGGTAATAAGATATTCAATACATCATTTATCTTTGGGTGACAAAGATAATATTAAAAAAACATACAAAAAATTCAGAAGCTGTTTACATATTTACTTAATTGTTTGTCTGCTTAATAAGGTTGAAATTTTGGGAAATGAACAAAATATTTTACTGGTAGTTACTTTTATAAAGCTGGCCTACATGACAAGAACTCCAAACTTAGGCATGTACCTCGAAATGTTGAATGTCCCTCGCCAATTCTCAGGAGGTTGTAATAGCTCAAAGCTCGTAGATATTTAAAGGTTCACTGCGTCAAACAGCAGGTGTTCTGTGAAAGGGGAAACCGAACAATGTATGTTTCACAACATTTGTTTTCAGAACAAGTATTTCTTCAGTAGAACCTGAAACGACGAGCAGAGGGAATTTTACAATAATTCATGTTTAAAGACATATATTGCTCTATTGCTCTGCAACCGATTGTCCAAATACTATCAAACTATATGAGGGGCGGTCGGGTAACCTTGTGGTTAAAGCGTTCGCTCGTCACGCCGAAGTCTCGGGTTCGATTCCCAACATGGTTACAAATGTGTGAAGCCCATTTTTCGTGTCCCCCGCCGACAAAGCGGCGTAAAACCATACTCACTCACTCGCACTAACTTTATGTTTCTGGTGCTTCTGATGCTTGACCTTTTTATGTATATTTACGTTCGTAATTGATCATATGTCATTTGTTTGCATAGAATACAGTGAGAGTTGGCATTATGTATCAACATCGTTTGTTGCATCTTTTTTGAGTGCATGTCAAAAATCACGCGGCTGGGCCATAGTTGGGGTTTTAGGTTTTGTTACAACAAAGTTACGTGAACTTTAATGACAGTTGGATAGACACAATCATTTTGCTAACACTCCAATAATTCGAGTATGGGTACTAAAACGTCCCATAATTTTCACTGAAAGGTCCCCTCCTATAGTTAAACAAGAGTGGTCACCCTCCCATAGTATAGCATAGCGTAGTGAATATCACTTGAAGATTAGTTTGAGGCATTAACTTGATCGAGCTTTGTTTTAAGTAGGAGAAAGTCCTCAAAGTCCCTAACGGCCTCGAACAAGCTTCACGTGCGAAAATAATCGCGAGATTTCGGACATTCTCCTTTACTTACACATGTAAGATACAGCGAAAAGATATTGAAAGAAGCGTTATTATAATACGATGATAAGCCCCATCCACTGCCTTCACATGACAACTGGAGGTAGTAACAACAATGTTAATAAACTGAGCTAGTATCATGTGGCTTCATGTTAGGATACCAATACCAATAAGTACCAATAACCTCCTTGAACCATTTGACCAAAAAGAAAGAATGAGAAAGAACGAAACTTGATAAAATTAATATCTTTTTATGGATAACAACTACTTCTTATTCTTTTTGACGAGTTACGTTTTGTATACCAATGCTAATGATTTAATGCTATGCTTGTCTGAATGCTAGGTGAACTAAAGCTATGATATACGTGGGTTGAGTGCTTATGTTTCCTGTATAGCCCAATGGCAGGCCGATCAAATGAACCTCCATGTATACACATGCACAAAAGTTAAGCGCAACCCACCATATTTGTGAGCTGTTACTTTTGGCACTTAATGATGACTATTATAACGAGATGTACGATTGTTATAAGCCGTATATGTAAACCTCATGTGGTGCAAAAGTTGTCCCAAAGCAAGTTAATCTTGTGTTCCAAAAGAATAAGAGCAGAAAGGAATTTTACCGAAGACCAGAAATTGAAGGATTAGAAAACATTGAAAAACTTTTTTTGTCATGTAACTGTCATGATATCAGCAGACCATATCAGGTGTCACATAGACACCCTAGGGAGTGCCCCATTAGATGCTCATGATGTCAATCACTGGATTGTCTGGTCCAGACTCGATCATTTACAGACCCCCATCATATAGCTGGAATATTGCTGAGTTCGGCGTTAAACAACAAACCAACCAACGAACCCTAGGGAGTGCAGAGTCTATTGCAAGACAGAAACGTCAGTAACGTGTGTATGATCCACGGACATTGACCACAGCTTCAACCCTACGCCTCATACTCATTACAAGTCGTTGAATGCTTCTCTGAGGCAAACGGATCCATTCGTCATGAAGTGCGGCTTCAAGGCCAGCGAGATTTTGAACTGGGGGATCACGATGTCTGATTTTCCGGCCAAGAATGTCCCAGAGATGCTCAATCGGATTAAGATCCGGATTACAGGCCGGCCAAGGAAGAGAGACAATAGCTTCTTGACGCAAATAAGCCAAAACTGCCCGAGATCTGTGTGGTCTAGTATTGTCGTTCATGTAAACAGGTCTTGTCTGAAGAGGATGGTTGTCAAAATGAGGGACTACCACTGGACGTAGAACGGCATCTTGGTATTGTTGGCCATTCAGGTTTCCACGAATTGTCACCAGCGGAAGTTTGCAGCCGAAGGAAACACAACCCCATATCATGACAGACCCCCCGCCACCTACTAAGGTCTTCTGGATGTTCCTTGGTGCAAAACGAGTGTTACGTTGCCTCCAAACACGTATTCGACCATCAACAGTTCGTAGCAGCATTCGACACTCGTCAGACCAATGGATCCTTCTCCAGTTGGCCAAGTTCCATCGACTACGGGCACGACACCATATCAGACGATTCCGCATGTGCCTCTCAGTCAGCTGAGGATGTTTTACTGGTCTTCTGGCGTTATAACCAGCCGCTCTGAGGCGACGCCTTACGGTCATCGTCGAGAGTCTCTGATGGGTAATCCACTGCAGTCTTAAATCTGTTGAAGTGGCAAATGGATTTCGTCAGACTCTCCTGAAAAGACGTCTATCCTCTCTGTTAGAGGTCTTTCTTGACCTACCAGGCCTATGCCTGTCATTGACATCATTGGTTCGACCATGTTTGACAATCAAACGAGTGATAACACTGTGATGACGACCCATTTGTATTGCAATGGTCCTGCATGACATACCCGCATTTTTCATGCCTATCACTTGCCATCTTTCAGCGTTCGTTAACTTTCTCCTCACCATTGCAGATTTTCAACCTCTATTGGAAGGGGAATCTCACACAGAAGCAAAATGCAACCACGTGTCTGAAACTGGATTTCACTATTTATAGGGTAGGGGAACTGCAGCAACACGTAAAGCACGCTTTCCTTGTGGTATCTGGACAAATTTGGGTTCATGAAACTATGGAAGCCTAATTCAGTCATACATCATCATATTTCGTATTTCGGATTCCCACACGTGAAATCAAGAGACTATGAATATGGTGGCTCCTAACTTTTGTGCATGTGTATATATCAGACTAGGTTATCAAATATCTGGAAGATTCACTCGGAGCCCAACAAGGCTACTTGCAGTTATGTACTTATTTTTATTGTTTTAAAAACTACAAGAAGTCGATGGTCGGCCCATAAATGTGCGATATGTTATGTATGAATACTCCATTTTGCAAAATACTTTTAATATACTTATATAAACATGTCATTGAATGTAATCTCATAGGTTTATACTATTTGTATTTCTTGTAAATCATTACTGCAGAATATAGAAAATTATCCTTTTCGCAATATTTGTATACACAATTTTGATAATTTGGCGTTTGGGGTTTTAAATATATTAACATAAGTAGTTATTTTATCTGCTTTCCAACATAATCAACAAATGATAAATAGTAAAAATATATAATGCAATTGTGTTGATAATATATTTGATTATACTTATGTCAACAATATGAGAAATTATGCTTCAATCTAAGACCTGTCCTTCATGAGTTATGATATGTTTATATCCCAATGTCATATGCATGTAATGACTTACTACGAGATTAACCGCAGGGCAAAAGAATGTTGAATGGGGTCTAAAATGAAACAAACAATGGTTATTTGATGGGGATGTGTTTGATACGGGTATCAAAAGCGAGATTAGGAGGGTCATATCAATGAGTATCTCACAACAAATGACATGCACATGACATCGCAATGGACATGGTGGTCGCAGTTTCACAGTACACAGTCTAAGTGTAGATTTTCAAGTGTATACTTCCTTATATTTAACCAATAAATAAACGTTTTGTCTGCATTTTAGGGTGTTTTTCATTTCAAATAAGGTCATGTTTTCCGCATAACAATGTTCAAATTGGTGCTCCAAAGTCTTGGATTATTGCTCACAAGTATCAATCACTGGATTGTCTGGTCCATACTCGATTATTTACAGACCGACGTCATACAGCATTGTTGAGTGTGGCGGTAAAGTACACACAAACTTTAGCCAGATTGAACCGAATGATAATGAAGAATGTACCTACCCAGATGGACATTCCAAGTGGACATATATCATTGTACTTGATGATGTATTGGTCCATGGATTATTGATGTGTTTTTCAGTTAACCCAAAACTGATGCATCGGTTGACCTAAATGATGTTCGATGCAATTATCCTATATCAACTAGTACATTATGTTCACGTGTTTGTTCGGGCAAACACTTGACTTGCCTTTTCATGTGTTTGTGACAGGAGCCACCGGTGGGTCAGGACACGCTCACTTTTTTGCGAACATCTGGCATCATCACTTTTTGATAGTGATCCATAAACAAATGTTTATGATATAGTCGGAATCGAACGATGGACCCTGGTTTTCATAGTAATTCCATATGATTATGATTTTTTTTTGTCGATTTTTATTTTTATGAAGACCGAAGCACCTGATTGTCGACACAGGTGACCAAATCATAAATGTAACTGTAGATTCTCGGGATGAAACAGACTGTTGGAAGTTGAAATACAAGTATCCTAGAAATAAGGATTTTTTAACTTATGATTATATGGCGCAGGTTGCACTGTTTGATGGTAACTACACACAGTTAGAACCATTTTCGTATCTTCATAGTCACCGGAGTCATAACACAGGTCTCTCCTCTCGTCTGTGTACCAGAGCATTGCTGAAAGAGATGCGAGCAGTGAGGAGATTCTTTTAGAAAGTTGTTTACGTAATTTATCACTGATAATCCCTTTTCGTCAGAACACTTTGAATGAAAATGTAAATACACGGGTTTGCAGAAAGCAACTGGTGCAGAAGGATGTGTTTATACTGAAAACGATTAATAAGGAGAATGGAGGTTACCTAATTGCTCTTTCATCTTTCATCTATTCAAAACAACACCTTCAGCATTCAGGATTAGGTTGAGAACTTTTCTCTTGTAAGAAGATTTCCATTTTAATTCAAATGTTTTATTTCCGTACTAAGGATACAATGTGTACACAATGTTGACTAATGTTGCCTTCTGTAGAACCTAGTTATCTCGAACCCCGTTATCTCGTTTGTACCGATATCTCGAACGTATTCTCTGGTCCCGACTGCCTTACTATATAATGTGCATACCTCGTTATCTCGAATGTCCGGATATCTCGAAGTTACAACACGGTCCCGCCAGGTTCGAAATAACGGGGTTCGACTGTACATTTTGTTCTGCACAGTTGTGGGTGGTACAAATACATTTTTTTACAAAAAATTAAATTCATGTATATAGTTGGATGTACAATGAATGTATATGTTATATACTTAATTCTAAACTGAGAACAGAACCTGAACACAATTAGAACATGATACTTATCTTCAACTCTATTAAGGTCACACAGTGTATATTTTATCATATATTTTTATATAATGGAGAATTCTCTTTGGCCGAGATTTGATCACATGACAGTCTTTTGAAATGCATATTGCCTCCAACCCAACGATATTGACTTAATCACAGGAAAAATCCAGGCCAAGGGTATCCTTTGATTTTCAGCCAACTAGGTGTCTTCCTTCGCGGAGACCCCAGCACGGGACGATCCTAACAACGTAAACATGGCGCCCGCGTCCGATGGTAAACCTAACCGTTTCGCTGATCTCTCTGTCATGGCGTCCTATTGGACAATATACATGCGAAAAATACCAAACGATCTACTTCGACAGCGCTGAAGGTATTTCGGGAGTAATTAGCTCAGAAAGGAAACTCCATTGAGTTGGAAATTGTTTATGTTTAAGCTGGCGAAATTATATCTTGAAGCGAGAACCGAGAAAAGCGACCAATACAGGGAAGTCAATCTTATGACCTATCGACTCAGTATTCAATGACACCTTGAACATTCAAGACAAGATATAGATATTACCAAAGAAAGCTGATTCAGTGAATCGTCGAAATATTTCAAAGCAGGGGAAAAGAACTGAAGCGAAAAGGGTTTGCCGAGATCAGCACTACCCCACTATAGACAGATGGCGACATGACGAAACTGTGTGACTACGTATGCAGCTTCGACAATCCAGTACTTCTGCAACACAAGGTATATCTATAATAGGATTCAATATTATTAGGACAATTTCAAAATCATTTTCTTGTCCAATATCGTGAGGGGTTTTAGCTTTTTGATCTGTGAATAAAATGTGTTCATGTGAATATATATATTTTAGAGCACAGTGCAAAACATCACGAAGTAAATTTCCACAAGATCTCGATTTCAATACTTTTTATCTCATGCTGGTTTTCGTCGATATGTTGCTGCCCTTGGGGAGGAGAGGTAGGGAAAACCTTGCGGGACTGAAGGTTTCTGATATAGCTATCACCACGGATGAACGCAAAAAAAGAAGAAGTTAGAATCAAAACGACCTTATCAAGT